CGGTCCTAGGCCAAAAACCGTTGACTAAAGAAGCAAAGACATTCTTTGATCCGATACCTTTGCAATGTGAGTTGGCTCAAGTCACCGCACCACCTGAAACCTTTGCTACCTCTTCTTTGCAAAGGACATAGTAATAGTTTCTTTGCGGGGTTGCTGTGAGCATAATGAGATACTCTGGGGAAAGCTCCTGGCACTTTGTGTTCAACAACTGACATTTTCTTCCTCCATCTCTGCTCTCACCATCTTGAAGTGAGCTCTTTGGTGAAAATGATCAGGAAGTAGAGGAGGCTGAGATGGGGTAGGGTGGTGGGGAGAGGGGAGAGCTTACTCGTGGTTCCTGAGCCTCTGGGCCCTTTAACTCCAGGTGGGGAACCCCTTTAGAGCCTTCTTCCTCCCCTCTTCCTTTGCTCCCAGCATTCTTCCTTGAGTCACTGCCAACTTGCTCTTCCTGACCCAGAGAGGAAGATTTGCCCCAGATCCAAAGAATGGTTCGGCAATGCCCTGGCCCAGCATGTGACTGGGCTGCCTTACGAAGACAGGCAGCTTATACTTCTTCTCAGAAGGGAGCTGCTGTGTAAGAAGTCTGTCTCCTCCGAAACGACCATGCTGTGAGGACACTGAGCTGGCCACATGGGGAGAGAGACACAGGCTGTGTGGAGGAGCACTGAGGTGCCACACTTTGGAGGGAAGCCTTCTTGGGCTTTCCAGCCCAGCCCAGCGCCCCTGCCAGCTGAAGGCAGCAGAACGCCTAGCCTCACCTGATGCCATATGGAAGAGAGGAGCCTTCCAGATGTGTCCTGTCAATCCACAAATTTGTGAGGAATAATACCTTTTTGCTGTTTTAAGTCATTAAGTTTAGAGATGGTTTGTTATACAGCAGATAAATTAATAGATAAATGAAACTCTTTCTCTATAATACATATTTTATGTACAATGTGTATAATGTTGACTTTTCCTTAAAAGATTTTATTTTTAAGTAATCTCTACACCCAGCGTGGGACTAGAACTTACAACCCTGAGATTGAGAGTCGCATGCTCCATCAGCTGAGCCTGCCAGGCACCCCTAATGTTTGTTTGTTTGTTTTTAAGATTTTATTTATTTATTTGAGAGAGAGAGAGCAGAGGGAGAGGGAGAGGGACAAGCAGCCTCCTTGCTGAGCCTGGAGCCTGATGCAGGGCTCCATCTCACAACCCTGAGACCAGGACCTGAGCCAAAACCAAGACTGAGCCATCCAGGTGCCCCCCCCCAATGTTTATTTTTATTAGTTTTTCTGAGCCATTTGAGAGGAAGCGGCAGAAATCATGACCCTAAATAAATACTCAGGTGTGTATCTCTAAAGAACCACACATCATCTTACAGAACAGTGCAGTTATCAAATGCAGGAAATACACCACTGACACAATATTAGCAATCGCTTGGCCCCTACTCATACTTTCTCAATTATCCCTTAAACCATGTCTTTCATAGCATTTTTTTTTTTCAGCTCCAGGATCGGGTTCAGGATTACACATCATACTTAGTGGCTGTATCAGTTATATGTAGCTGCGTAACAAGTCACTCCAAAGCTTCATGGCTTAAAACAACCATTTTGATCATCCCACAGTTTCTGTGGGTCAAGAATCTGGATGTAGCTTAGCTCTTTTGCTCAGGGTCCCTCAGTCAAGGTGTCAGCCAGGGTTCCTGTGATCTCAGGGTTCCACAGGGATGGGATCTGCTCCAAGGCTCATTCAGCAGGTGTTGGCAGGATTTAGGTGGTAGCACTCGGTTGGCCCGAGGGCCTCAGTGCATTGCCACATGGGACTCTCCACAGGGCAGCTCTGAATTCAAGCAGGCTGAGAAGAACCAGAGAGGATGTAGCAAGACAGAAGTCACAGTCTCTTATAACCTAAATTATGGTCTTTCGTAATCCAGAAATGACATTCCCTCACCTTTGCTCTATTGTATTCATTAGAAGCAAGTCGCCAGGTCTGGGCGCACTCGAGGAGAGGGGGCTGCACAAGGGAGTGAAGGCCAGGAGGTGGGGTCCTTGGAGGCCATCTGAGAAGCCTGCTTACCACAGTGCTCACATCCCTCTTGTCTCTTCTAATCTGGGGTGGTTTACTTGTTTTCTTTGTCTTTGACATTTTAAAATATCACAAGCCAGCTGTTTTGTCAATGTCGCTCAGTTTGGGTTTGTCCGCTGTGTCCTCATGATTAGATTCAGGTGGTACATCATCTTTGGCAGGAATACTTCATACTCAACATTGTAACCTTCCCAGTGTAGCATATCGGGAGACACATGATGCTGGCGTGTCCCATGATTAGTAATCTTAACTTGGATAAGTTAAAATGGTACTCAGGCTGCCACATTCTTACCCACTATGCCATTCTGCCTCTGGCCTGGAAAGTTCTTTTCTCAACAGGGTAAAATTTTTCAATTTTTCAAACAGAGTAAACAAAACAGTACAAAACAAAACAAGACAAAATGAGACCAAATCTCTTGACAGAGCAATTGTGGGAAGAATTTGAGCCTGCAAACTCTTTTAGGATGAAAATCCCCAATGTCCTGTCAGAACTTTACCCTCCCCCTCTCATTTGCAACCAAGATACCCTCAACCGAAGGCCCAGGGATTGGCTGTCATGCCAGCCCAAAGGAACCTGTTTCTTTCAATTGCTAGTGCCTTCATCTAGAAAGCCCTGTTCCATCCCTGCCTTCTGGTCGGCCTGCAGAACTCCAGTCCATCTCTGAAGCCCAGGCCTGGGGTCTTCAGCTCCAAGAATAAGGCTACAGCACTGAACAACTCCAGGGGCCCCCGGAGCTGTGCAAAGCCTGTGATCTTGTTCTGGAGACACCCACCCCCTTGCCCCCGGGCCCAGCCTCCCCTCACATAGCACACAGGATCACTAGAATTTATCAAGATATAGATCTGTCTTCTCTGGACAGAAGGTGAGACCAGGGCTTGTCTACCTCTCTGGGTCCCCGTATCCAATACGTGCTCCAGAAGTATTGGGTGAACACAGGAATTTTGCAGTGGCTGCTTGTGCTCCTCCTCCCACCCCTACCTCAGGAGCACTGTACCCCTCTATAATCTGGGGGTGACACAGTCCTAGATTTCAGCCTTTGCATCCCCTGAGGTGCTTACAAAGTTCTGGCAATAAAATCCCAGATTCCATGTGGTTGACCAGAAGACCTCCCTTATAAGGCCAGCAGGTGCAGTTAAATGTAGCTTCTTGACAGATTTGTGAGGTTCCAAAGAGGCCCTCCCTTCAGAGAAGAGATGATGGGGTCTGGAGAAACCCGCCTGTTTTGGAAACTGGCTAGAGGGCACGCAGACTGATTCTAGAGCAGAGGCCTGCAACCTGTGGATGAGGCCCAAGGCAGCCAAGGCTGCAGGAGATGTGGAGAGGGCCTCAGGATGCTTAACCAGGAGGTGACTTTCGATCTCTGTTCCCACCAAATTTCTCGTCCCTTGGAGCAGGTCACAGAACTGTTAACAATAGAACTGAAGCACCCAGTTGGGTTTTTCTGCCAAAAGAGACACTGAGGTCTCACTTCACAATCTGGAGCACTTTGCTCATGTCCCCTCCAGTCCACAGTCCCGGGGGCAGCTTGGGCTGGTCCCTCCCCAGATAATGAACAAGGACCTCTGACTTCCCCCACCTGTGAGGACTCACCCCTGGGGAAGGCCTGGACCATGCTCTGTCCTGCTTGGGTTTCTTTTCTACAAATGTTGAAAATGACAATGGAGGCAAGTGCAGATGTTAGCGTTTTTGCCTTTTGGGGCTTTCCTGTTTCTCCTTTTCGGGGAAATGACTTGTTGTTCTGAACCCTGTACTATCCCGTTAAATGCCAGGACCACTGTCTTCAAGAGGCCCGGATTAGCTCATGGCGCTAAGTGCTGAGAAGACTGAGAAGAAAAGCCTCAAGCCCGAATCAAAAGCCCTGGAGCCCAGGACACCACAGAATTCGGGGCAGCGAACAGGGAGTCTCTGTCTTTCAACTCCCAGCACTTCACCACACTCCTGGTGAAGTTGGCCTTGCACCCATGAGCCGGCGCTGCCTAGCTGGGCGCTGCCCCACGTGTGGGAGGCAACCGGTCCCCACTCGTCGGCTGGCAGCACCCACCGCACCCTCAGCCAGAGACGCCAGCTGCCCAGAGGGTGGGAAGATAACGCGAAGCCGCCCTGGCTGGTGCGCGGGGACCCCACTTCCTTCTGGCTTCCCGGGTGTCGCACTGAGGGAACTCTTGACTGGAGGCGCGAGAAGGCGGTAAGGTGGGTAGGTGACCTGTGACCGCCCAGAGAGGGTGTGCTGTGGTCTTTGAAAGCCCAGAGGACCATCATTTGGACCCCCACCCCGCCCCGGGGCCGAGGACCAGCGCAGCGAGAGGGATCTCTCGGGGGAGAGAGAGGATGGCAAGCCGGTAATGCCTTGGGAGGCTCTGGCAGGGCGAGGCCGCGAGGATCACGCCGCCTCTCCCCCCACCTACCGACCCCGGGGCCGGGAGCTCCTCCCAGCCACTCTGGAGGGGTGGGGGATCCGAGAGGCCCCCCCAGCGAGTCCCCCGGGGAGGCGGGCGGAGGTGCAGCGCCCGGAACAAAGACCCACAGAGGGGTCCTGGAGCGCGCGGCTCCCCCGGGGCGGGGGCGGGCCACCTCCCTCCCTCCCTCCCTCCCTCCCTCCTCCCCTCCCTCCCCCCTCAGCTCCTCCCTCTCCTCCCCTCCTTCCACCCAGAGGCCCGGCCGGCGCGCAGCCCAAGCTGCCCCAACTTCGCCAACGGTTCCCAAGTTGCCGGGCGCGCTGGGCTGGGAGCTGGGTGGGGTGAAGAAGGAGAGGAGGAGGAGGAAGGCTCCCCGGGCGCCTTGGACGCGATTCAGGAATCCGCCGCCGCCGCCGGCCGCTCGCCGGCTCGGGCCCGAGCGGGGAGGGCGCCAGGCAGGACCGCTCGCTCGCTCGCTCGCTGCGCAGGACGGCGCCCGCCTGGCGCCGCTTCCCGCTCGGCGTGCGAACCGGCCGGGCCGGGCCGCGCCTCCCTCCCTCCTCCCCGCCGCCGCCGCCGCCGCCGCCGCCGCCTCCGGGGAGGGCGCAGAGCCCGGGCCGCAAGGGATCGGAGCCGCCGATCTGCGCAGACGGCAAAGTTGCGAGCGGATGCTGCAGGCGCCGGACCCCAGCCGCGGACAGTCGGATCCGCCCCCGCCGGAGGAGGCTCGGCGGCCGGGGTAAGTAGGGCGCCGGCGTCCCGGAACCGCCTCCGAGGCCCGGGCGAGGCCGCCCAGCCGTGAGCCCCCCAACCTCCCCTGTACGGGCGGCCTGCCAAACTTTGGAGGAAGAGGGGGAGAAACGGAGCGTGGGAGAGGGAGTTCCCCGCCCAGGGAAAACTCTACGCAGGCACCCGCGACCCCCAGACGCAACCCGCGCTCAGATTCACAGCTGCCAGGTACTCGCAGCTCATCATCATTCAAGCCACAGACACACCGCGCGCTCGCCGGGAGCACAGCCACGCCGACCCCGCACAAGCTGCAGGCCAAAATTTACAGTTCCGGGGGTGCGGGGGTTTGGATCTTTAGACCAAGCATGCCCTCCTGCCCTCAAATAAATCCACGGTCTTTGCTGCCCCTGCAGCCCCCCAGTGAGGAGCCCCCAAAGCGCGATGGGCCGGGGAATGGCTGTCTTTGAAAGTCGTGGCCGGCACCCCGAGGCTAGAAGTGGGGAGGGGAAAGCGAATACTGCAGTCGGATCTCGGGGTTCATCAGGAGCGAGTCTGGTGTGGAAAACTCGGTGTCTTGGTGATGTGTCTGGGTGTGCGCAGCTCTTCCGGAGGCGAGGCCGGGAGATTGGAGGGAGTGATTCATAAACTCGGACCCGGCGTGCTGGGCTCTGTGAGCAGAGTAGAAAAGGCTGCAGGCCGGTGCTGCGCTGCGCGGAACAGCTGTGTGATGGCAGTGACAGGGCCTGGAGGAAAGCACACAAACCCTTACCCCGCCATCCCCCCCCCCCCCCCACCCAGCGGATGTGTTTCCTCAGAGGGACTTCCAGGAGGACCAGCGGAGGAGATTCCCGCCCTGGATGTGTGTGTGTTCACCGGGGTGGGGGATGTTTAAGACTCCCGAGGTCAGGAAGAAACGAGGGCGGTGCGGGAGCCCTATTTATTTTCACTGCCCCTGAAGCTGTGTTTGCTTTCAGATGCACTGGTGTGCTGGGGCCCCAGGATGTTTCAGGGATTGTCCTGGACCTAGCCCAGTGCTTGGCACCTGGTGGGTACTCAGTAAGTAGTCGTTTGATGATTAAGGATACCAATAATTAATATTTGGTAAGGACTTACTATGAGCCAAGCCTGGTGGCCTCAGCTGGGTTGGAATTGGTCTTCCTGCAGAGGGGGCCCTGAGTGGTTCCAGGGAGCCCTGCGTGATTTGTCTGGAGAAGTGGCCCAAGCAGCATGTTCTAGGCCGCCGTGTGGGCTGGCACTGGGGACTTGATATCTCATCATTGGCCTATGCTCCCCTAAGAGGGGCAGCAGGAAAGTCTCCCATTTCTACATTTGGCTAAGCAAGGGATGGTGTTGGGTGTTTCTTCTGGCTCCTGTTGGCCTGGCTGGAAATGGGTCTCATGAAGGGTCTAGGGGCTGTGTCCTCCAGCAGGGGCTTGGCTCTGTAGTGGCAGCAGGTGGAGGGGTAGTCGCAGTCCCTGTACTGAGCATCAGGTGGTTTCCTCTGTGTCAGCTGGCATGAGTTTCCCAGAGGAGCTGAAACATCTCATGTTCCTGGAACTGGGATTAGAAGCAGTTTTGGGAGCGATTCCCTGTTGGCATGGGATTGAGAGCGTGCAAGGATAGGGGACAACCTGACCATGGAATCACAAGGAAATGTGTCATTCCCCTGCCCCTTTGTGACTAGGTTCAGTCTGCATTTCAAGCTTCAAAATGGTCTCAGTGCTGAAATTAGCAAAGTATATGGGCAGCACCAGAACTGTGGCCCCAGATGAAAGAGGGAGTGACCCGGACTTGGCCATCTCTAATTTCAAGGGGGACTGCTGCAGCCAGTCCCTTCCCCATATCACCTTCCCACCCTGTGTCTTCGGTGAATCAAGAGCTTTACGTACATTATCTCATTAAGCCCTACATCCCTATGAAGTTAGCGTTTTATCGCTCTTTTGCAGATTAGGAAACTGACGCTCAGAAAAGTTAAGTAACTTTTCCAAAGCCACACAGCTAAGGAGGAACAAAGCTGGGGATTTGAACGTGGACAGTCTGACTCTGGAACTCATGCTGTCTCCACCATGCCAGGCTGTCTCTACGGTCCCCACTGGTTCTCCACGGCAACAAAGAAGCTACTTACTAACATGGTCCTGGGGCCCCTGACTGCAGTCCTTTTTCCACACACTCTGCCCAGACTGGGTTACACCATGGGCCATGGGAAATCAAAGTCTGGGTGGCTCCAGGCTGCGAGAACCTTCCATGTAGTACTGGAGTCCGGAAATGATGGAGATTTGGAAGTGATTGAGGGGAGATACTGCAGTGATTCCAGTGAGAGATGATTCACTGCTTGTCCGAGAAGTGGGGACAAAGCTGCCACTTGCGACCATACAAGTCATAAGTTTGGGTTTGGGAGAAATGGCCAGGCAAACATTGTCAAATGGATTACTCTCTTCCTTTCTTTCTTCGGCCCTCACCTGAGTGGAAATCTGTCACACAGGATAATCAGCCCTCCCCTGCCACCTCCTGCCTGGTGGCTGTCCTTCCCACACCTGCCAGGTGCCCTGGGGTGGTTTCTGGTCCCCAAGAGAGATGGGTGGGCAGAGCTGGAGTGGGGGAAGATGACACATGGCTCACCTGGTGGTCCCTAGCGAGTACTTTCCCCCACATGCCCCACAGAGGGACAGTGGTTATCGTCCCTACTTTGCAGAGGAGAACAGGGGCCTCAGAGAGGTGCGGTGGATGCCCAAGGTCACGAAGCTAGGGAACTGCAGGCTATATGCTGCCTCCAGGCACCCCTGCAGGCACTTAGGGGCAGCTGTGTTCTCAGTCTCGTTGGTGGTCTATACCCCATAAAGGCTGAGAGGGGTGCTTCTCACAGCTCTGCCCACCCCCATCTCTGCCCAAGATGTCCATATACAGGAAAAACCGGCAGTCTTAAATAAGGAGCAGAGGATGAGCACTACCTGGCTAGCCCCTGCCCACCTTCCCCAGGAAGCCCATGTGGGTGAGTTTCGAGAGCCTTGACAGCTGAGCTGTAGGTATTGGAACCCTCTCTTGCCTCCGCTGCGGAGTGGGCGTGCTGTCCAGGATGGAAGTTGGGAGACTGGGTTTGGGGAGAAGCTGCTCCACCCGAGGGATAGGGGCTGCTCATCTTTGCACCCTGGCTCCATCCCAGCGTCTGAGACATGGAAGTACTTGGGACCGTCGTCAGGTGATGGGTGAAGCCCGGGGAGGGGCCTCGGGCGAGCGCCTCTGCTGGGAAGTCATAAAGCAGGGGAGCCAAGGGAATCCTAGCCATGAGGAAACGCTCACAGAGGTCTCTGCCCTGTCATGAAGTCATGCAGGAGGAAAACAGCTCTGCGTTTCATTCCTTCAAGAGAAGTAATAAATGTCATCTCTTCTCTGATGACTAAATAGATGATAGAATGCTGCTTATTCTGCCTGAGCATGTGGCTTCCACGGCTGGGTGTGGGGCGGTCCCTGGCCAGCTGGACAGTTTGTTCTGTGCTTAGAGGTGGACACGCTCAGTCTTTGGCCCCATTGCCCCAAATCTGGCTGGTTGCTCCCCCCACCCTTATCCACCACCATGGAGAGAGGGGGCAGGCAGGCCACGGGAGACCCGGGCCACCAGCAACTGCACCCCGTCTTGACTCTCCCCTCCACATTTCCCCCCCCCCCCCCCCCCCGCTCCACAAAGATGGCTGTGTGCTGAAGGACTGTGGGTTTCTCTGGGCCCTGAGAAATTTATCACTGGGGTTCTAGAGGACTCTCTGAAAAGGATTTGGAGGAAAGTGTGGAAAATAAATAAGCCAGTTCCCAGTTGAGCTTCTCCTGAATACCACAAGTAAACAGCCATCCCTGAGGCCCGCCTGGGAAGCTCTGTGTTGACCTCCCATGGTTACACCTGGCTCACTGGCTGCTTTTACTGGCTCCCCCCTCCCTCCCCTCTCCCCTCCCTCTCCCCTGTCCAACCCCTCCTCCTTGACTTTGAGAGCCTCAAAAGTCAGGGAACACACAGGGCCAGACTGCTGGCCTGTCCTTGTGCTGCAGGAGGTTGGCACGCTGGCTGCTGGGTCCAGGAGCAACATGAGGGAGGAAAGTCCGCCTGGAGTGCCGGCTCAGCCCTGCTGCACCTGAGCAAGCCTCCCAGCCTTGGCCCCACTCAGCGAGGCAGAGGGTGGTCTCCCAGTTGGTGAGTTGGACTTTGATGGTGGAGTAATGGTGGGGCTTTTTCCAGTTTTGTGGCACCTGATGAAGTTTTGCGTCTTAAACGTCCATTTAGAGTGGATGAACCAAAGTTAATTTTCCCTTTCGTGTCCCCCTCCCCACACACAAGGTGGGGCTCACATGTGAAGAAACCCTCAAAACCTGTACATTTACCTTGAAGAGCTCTCGGGAATAACTAGAATGTCAAGGTTCTTTGCTTTGGGCCGGAGTCATACATATCAGATTAGGCCATGTCAGCTTAGGGTGCTGGTGGTGTAAGTTGACACTGAAGGTTTCAGGGAGCTCTGGCACTGTTGAGAGTTGCTATGTCTATAGGGTAGGAAGCAAATTCATGATAGCTTAATAACTTCAGTGCATTTAGTTGAGCCCCTCTAAAACCCAGCAGTGCCTAGTGAGAAGGGAGAAACAGAGCTCTGGGTGGGGGCAGTTCCTGACTGGGACCCAGAGAGTGGCTGAGGGGCCTCTCCATTGTATGTGACTGTACCGAGCTGGGTGGGCAAACTGAAACCTCTGTCATCTGGGGAGCAGGCACTGCCGGGAGGCTGTGGGTCCTGCCCCTGGCCAGGGAGCCTGTTTGTCATGCTGCTGCCAGGCTGCCGAGAGAGAACTTGGGGGTGGGCTCCATAACTTGCAGCCCTGGAGAGAGAGAGGCTGCATACCCACCTACTCAGAGACCATCACATCATCATAGGCTGAAATAAACACACACACACACACACACACACACACTCACACTCAGATATGTCCCCCCCACACAGATATTTCAGTAAACAGCTGGGCACATTATATACCAAAACA